ATATAGTAATATGCTAATATGTTTATTATCACTTTTTTCTATTTTTTATGAATTTATGGTAATTTTTGAAATAAAATATTTTTTTTGTTAAATTTATGATCGAATGTAACTTTATCAACTCTTAACTAAACCTATCTAAACTTCTCCAAAACTATGATATGCTAATATATTTATTTTTTTTTTCTATTTTTACATGAATTTAGAGTAATTAATTTTTGAAAATAAGATATTTTTATATTGAACATGTGATCAAGCGTAACTCAAGTGAAATACGAGTTAATTTTCATCAAATCCATCCAAATTTTCTTAAATATATTAAAAATTAGTTTTAAGATATATAACATTATTATTTTTATTTTTCATGAGTTTAGGGTGATTAAGTTTTGAAAATGATATTTTTGGATTGAATATGTAATCAAGTATAACTTTTAAGTTTTTAAACTTCTCTAGAACTACTAACAAATTATTATTATGAGATATTTAGCATAATATTTCTTAATTATGATGAACTAAGAAAAATTTTATATTAAAAAAATAAATAGTTAAGACTTTTATTGAACTAATCTAACTTGGTTCATGTCAAATAAATATGTTTCACCCAAATAACCTGGAGTCAACTAGGGTTAACGGACATTGATTATCTTTTTATTTATTTTATAAAGAGTACTTTAGTCATCGTACAAAAAAACGAGTACCCCTAATAAAAACTAAATATGGAAGCACCACATGCAAAAACCCTATTATCGAATGCGTTTTTTTAGATAAATTGCTCTTATTATTTTATTACTTTTTTGTTTAAAAAAATTTATTTACTATGTTAACTTTATAATTTTAAAGAGAAAAATTATTACATATATCCTTTGTTTCATTTCAGTTGGAAATGTTCCAAATAAAAGATGCTTATATTTTGCATCTCACTTCATGAAAAAACAAAACACAAAAATTCTCGCTTCCATTAAATGGATTGATCACCATTTCTTTTTTCCATCGATTTTATTATAGTATTCCCAACTTTCTAAACTTTTTTCGATCAAATAAATTCTGAATTCTAAAATCCAAAATCTTACAGAATAATCAAAGCAGTCGGGCGTGCTGATCCATCAACTGTGTCCACATCAGCAAGGAATCTGTACTTATATGACCAGTTCTGAATTTTATATATATATATATATATAATACTTTTGAGTGCATTGACTTAGTTTTCAAAAGGGGAAACATTATCATCAATTAATAGATCAAATGGACATTAATTAATTAGACAAGATTGTGCGTGCTGACGTATCCAATTTGTGTGTTGACAAAAATCTAACATAAATTTATATAATAGTAATTGCCAAAACCTCCTCTCTTTATTTTTACCCCTAAAAAAATGATCCTATTTTTATTTTTTTTCCAAATGATGTCCCTTATTTCCAATAATATAAAAAATTATTCATATCAACCGTAACGAGATATTTTTTTTTATAATTTTTTAAAAACATCATATTAATCGTAGATAGTTACTATAATCAATAGCATTATAGTGTTTTTGTTAAGTTATTAAAAATATTATAAATAATTGACATTATGTTGTGTCTCTTTGATTGTTATTATTTGTAGGTTATCACAATGTCAAATGTTTAGGTTTGAAGTTGGTTTATTTGAGATTATGAGACCATTTATATAATTTAAGTATGATTTAAATTATTTTTATTATGATAGTATAAGAAATCAATTTTTAGTTCCATTGAAACTGATAAAATGTATTTTTTTATATTATTCGAAACAAAGGAAAATACCGAAAAACGAAAACAAAGGATGGTTTCGAAAAACAAAAACAAAAAGGGCGAGAAAGTAAATACCTTCCAACAACCAACTATACGAAACGACCATATTTACGCTGAGCGAAGGCGATCACAATTACACCACCGAAATGAACAGTACTGCCTCGTCGAGTGGTTGCCAAATGCACATACGCAATGGCGACAGCCTCATCCTTCGTTGCAGATGTTGATTTGGAACCATTAAAGAAGTACATATATAATTCACGCCGGTTAGCAGTCGGTATCACATGACACAGATGATGAGGTCGTCTTCGAGTGTTTGTTCGAGCTTTGCTTTCGAGGTATACTTTTTTGTTGGTCTGATGCCATCTTCACAAACGTATTCAATACACAAGGAGAGTACTTTCATGGAGCTTTTATGAAGGAAGAGAAGAGGAAGAGGGAGAGAGAGAGAGAGAGAGAGAGAGAGATACGTGAGTACTTTCATGGAGCTTTTATGAAGGAAGAGAAGAGGAAGAGGGAGAGAGAGAGAGAGAGAGAGAGAGAGATACGTGAGTACTTTCATGGAGCTTTTATGAAGGAAGAGAAGAGGAAGAGGTGGAGAGAGAGAGAGAGGTGAGTACTTTCATGGAGCATTTATGAAGGAAGAGAAGAGGAAGAGGGAGAGAGAGAGAGAGAGAATGGCGGACTTGAGCAGTGAGGAGAACGCATCGTCAAAGAGCACTAGCCTTCTCCTCCAAATCGTCGAACACCCTGACGGATCCGTCTCCCGTCCCTTCGTCCCGATCTCTGCGCCCTCAGACGACCGGCCGGACGCCGCCGTCCTCTCCAAGGACGTCCCTCTAAATCCCACACACGACACATGGCTCCGGATTTACCGCCCCACCGTCGTCCATCATACCACGAAGCTCCCCATAGTCATCTACTTCCATGGCGGCGGCTTCGTCGTCTTCAGCGCCGCTTCCACCTTCTACCACGGCTTATGCGAGGCCATGACCGGTGCGATTTCGGCTTTAGTCGTGTCGCTTGAGTACCGCCTCGCCCCGGAGCACCGCCTCCCTGCGGCGTACGAGGACGCCGTGGAGACGGTGCTGTGGATCCAATCTCAAGCTCGAGATCCGGCAGCGGGAGAGCCGTGGCTGGTACACCATGGGGATTTCTCCCGCTGCTTTCTCATGGGCAGCAGCTCCGGGGCGAACATGGCGTACCACGCCGGACTTCTCGCTACGGCCCTGGAGCTGCTGCCCCTGAGGCTGCTGGGGTTAATCCTCAACCAGCCTTACTTCGGCGGGGTGGAGAGGACCCCATCGGAGATCAGATCGGAGGACGACCCCATTCTCCCGCTCCAGGCCAACGACACGCTGTGGCGCCTGGCGCTGCCGAAAGGCGCCGAAAGAGACCACGAGTTCTGCAACCCCGTGGTGGCAGTTCCACCGGAGCTGAGGCATCTGCCGAGGTGCTTGGTGAAGGGCTGCGAAGGGGATCCGCTGGTGGATCGACAGCGGGAGTTTGTAAGGATGCTGCAGAGGGAAGGAGCGAGCGTGGTGGCTCGGGTGGACGAAGGAGGGTTCCACAGCGTCGAGCTCTTGGATCCGATCAGGGCAGAGTCCCTATTCGCGGAAGTCCGGCGGTTCATTCGCAATGATCTCTGAGAAGAAGAACAACACGTACGTGCCATCCTCATTACTTCTCCATGCATGTCCGATTTAACGTGAACTTCCTCTGTTGTGTAAACCCATTACATTCTGCGATTGTGAACTGTTGAGATGTCGTCAATAAATACTATAAATCTACTAAGAGTTCATCCGAACAACAAATCTTCACTTAGGATCTCCTTCTAATTATTGATCGTCTTCCTTGTTATATATGTATGGACAATGGAAATACCAGATAAAAGCACAAAGGGAAAACAACTGAGAGTTAAAGCTAAATAACTCTTGTCTTTTTTTGTGCTCAGAGAGAGATTAAGCAACAAAAAATGACAAGCATCATATTGACAGTACAACATTACCATTAGCAGCACACCAAACAATCTCTTGGAATAAAACCAAATGTTGAAGGCAAAAGAGGAGAGGAAGAAAGGAGAGGGTGCCTATGAACAGGAATCAGTAGTACCAAACAGAGTTCCTTGGTTTCTTGTTGGGAGTTGGAACAGAGGAGATCTGAGGCACCATGAACGCGTCGTCGCTCCACCGCTCCTTCCCGGACTTATCTCTGTGTGGGAAGCTGCTTGCTACCTCCTTGTCCACCAGCCAGTGCTGGTAATGAGCGGCCGGAGGACAGTGCGGAAGGAACTGCGGCGCGTGGGCCGCGCAGATGTCTTCCAGCCCTCCGCCATGCAGATCCAAACATGGAAGCGACATGTTCACCTGGACGATACGGTAACAAAAGTTAGATTACTGTGGTAAATGGTAATTAGATCTGAGAAAGATTGGATCTTTGAACATGTAGTTGCAGACCTCGAAGAAACCATCCATGGCGGGGGCGGCGGCCGTGTCTTCGACCAGAAGGTCCTCGACGTGCCAGCCTGGGCACGTCTTGGTGAGGTACTCCGAGATGCTACTGGCATTGCCGCTGCTGGTGGCGCTAAAAGACGCGCTAGCTGAGGGAAAAGCAGCAGTTTTGATAGGGTCGCCGGGGACCACGGCGGCGGTGGGGTCCGCCACCATGGCCTTGCCTTTCTTGCTCTTCCAGATCGCACCGTCCCTGCTGTTGGCTGCCGCGGCCGCCTCTGTGTCGGGAGCCGAGAGAGGCGCGGCGGAGAAGCGGACGCCAGTGAGAAGGAACCTGCTGTGCTTCATGGTGAGGTGGTTGGTGCTATGTATGGCGGAGTCGCACTCTCTACAGAGGATCGCTCGGTCCTCTTGGCAAAACAAAATCGCTCTCTTCTCCTGCAAATCACACAACCCAAAACCCAAATCCTTTTGTCCGTAAAGATTCAAACCCACTCGAATAGCCTCTTCCGGTGCTTGCTGAGAGTACCTGACAGACGTCGCAGAGGGGGTTGGAGTGGACGGAAGGGTAGTCGAGGGAGAAGCGGCGGTGCTTGCCGGAAAGCTTGTTGGCGCAGTGCACCCGGCGGTCGCAGGCGTCACAGAGGGCGGCCTCGTCGGCGCAGCAGAACACCAGAGCCTCCTTTTTGCCGCAAACATCACACAGTATCTTCATCACACAGCCGCCTGATTTCCACTCCTCTGCTTCTCTTCCTCCTCGGCGGAACGTCTTCTTCAGCCGCTGGTCAATGGAAGCATGGAGGGAGATAAGACTCTGATGGTGGAGGAATAAATCAAGTGTAGTGGGGGATCTATTATAGAAGATGAGCTGAAAGAGAAGAGAGAGAGAGAGAGAGAGGCGACAAGAGGAGGGTTCCCAAGAATTAATGCTCACGTACGATGGCGGCCAGCCAAGGAATCCTCGTTTCCACTGCAACGATGCCTTATCATCTCTGTACGAGATGGCACGCCTGACACACGTAGGTGAAGCCCCGTGGTAACTAACAAGCACGACTCGCTCCGCTGCGGGTCATGTCAACGACGCATAAGAGACACGGTTATGGTACATCCATATCACGTCTGCGTCACGGCAGCATAGCGGACATAGGTATCTTTATGTACATCCCCACATGAATGAATGCTATGTATGCATCACATGGCGTCACGTAGAATGATCTCATCGCTGTTCGAGTGTCGCATCACTGACACGGCACTGATGGACATAACACGGTTCGCACCACCGACATGTTATTATTCTCCGAAGCTTTCCTATCACTCGAAAATATGCGATTATATATTTTGAATTATTTATGTACCATCTCATATATATATATATATGGATGCAAAAGATATAAGGTAAGATAGTATTTTTCAAATAATATTTTTCTTTTTCAATCCCATAAATATTTTTTTTCTATCGTCATTTCGATTATCATCACCTCCCCTTTTATGCCCTTCTTTTCCTTGTTTATAGTTCTTGTTTATTTTTCTTTCTTTCTTCTTCTATTATTTATATTTTATAAAAATAAAAATAATAAATAAATTGATTTCGAGATTATAAATAAAGGTATTTAGGAGATTATAAAAATTAAAGAGCATGATTTCGTAAAAATGAAAAAAAATATCTTTTCTTTGGCACTATACATCGAGTTTGATTCGATCTAAGCCGCTTTTCAAGTAAGACATATGATTCGAGTTCAACAAAATCAAGAAAATTGGGAACATGTCTAATGAAAATAACTTAAATTAGCATATATTTTTAGAATTTATTGATTGACACTTCATCTTCATAAGCTTCCAATGAGATTCGAAAAAAGAATTGGTGAGCTGGTCCTTGAGCTAGTAGTGACACCCAAGGCGTCGTAGCATGTAGAAGATGGACCTGTAATAATTGGTAGCTTCCAAGCTCGCCCAGCTTGAGCTTCTTTGTGGCTTCAAAAGATAGATAGATAGATAGATTGCCCATAAAATGTCATCCATCACTTGGCGGCATTAGCCGTTCCATTATTGGGTGGTCCGTTGTGCCCATAAAATTTGATTCCGACATGATATCTTGTAATCGAGTTCCCATTTTGTACATCCCAACTCGGTTGCTCAAGTGGCCCATACTATGGCACATGGGAATAAGGAACACTTGCATTTGAGATTCTTTTCCTTTATTATTTTTTTTTTCTGACCCAGCAAAGTAGAAAGCCTTACAATACAATATATCATTGTTAGATTACGTAGTTCTATATAATTAGATAGAATATATTATAGATAAAAATAGATTTTGATTATGATTATCGATCAATAAAAGAAAAAAGTTCAATTATGATAGAATTTCTTAGAAGATGAACTTAATAAAAGATGACACGTAAGATTTCTATGCTCGCCTATAAAAGGAAAAAAAATATTCTAAGGACTTAATGCGAATAATATGAATACACGAATACACAGATAAGAGAAATAAGAATAATAGATATAATTGAGAAATTACATGTCTTTCCTCATCTTTCCTTTCTCCCTTGTGAAGGATAGAAAGAGAGAAAAAATCGAGTTTAATTCGTAAATTTAGATTTATTGTTATTTGATTTCAGATTTTGATATTAAAATCTTTTACATAATAGTATAAATATGATTTTTATGCTTATAATCATTCTTTGTGTGTGTGTATATATATATATATATATATATATATATATATATATATATATATATATATATATATATATATAT